AACAGATGCTGAAAACATGTGTAGGCCACCACAAACTGATCCTAAAAATCTGGATCTCATTTCTGCTATCATAACATTTTTTTTTATTAACATGCACATTTTGAAATCCTCTATGATACTCAATGAAACTACTAGACTGGGGGAAGAGGGCCATAAAATAGATGTTGAAATAGCATCACTACGGGCAGCTTTTACGCCCGTAGTGAAGAGAACTAACACAATCCTCATGAAAACCAAAACAAGACAAAGATAAGGAAAACATGTTATGAAGTTCATATATAAAACTACCAATGGTAGGCATTTTCCGACTATAATCTAAACAAAATGGAAACTTAAATTTGATTCAAACGCAACGTTAAGCAGTGAAAGGAGAGTAAAGTCGGAGCATGAAGAAAGAAGCAGCCAAATATCATTGGATCGAAATTAACTTTGACGTGAACACTAAAATTTTGTCTTATCTCGACTTAAGGGTAAGGATGATGAACACAACAAACAGTCGCCTAGTTAAAATGGAAGGAACTTTAACAAAGAAAACAACACAAAAGAATACTTCAGCAACTTGAAACAGGTAGCTTTTTTACTCATTTAAACTCAACTTCTTAGTTACAGCAAATTGGAAACAAATAACTCGTAATGTAGGATAACAGGGCATGTACGACCATTTATGTTTTCCTATAGAAAATGATTTCGGACTTCATGACTGAACCACGACTTTCACAGCCAACCAAAACAGTGAAATAAGAGGACCTTACTAAGGAGAAACAAACTCGAGACTGAACCAAATCATCAAGATTACAAGGAGACAACAGTCAAGCAAACAACATGAATAGCAAACAAGTTACACCACTGATTTACAGTCTAATAATAAGTCGAAACACTCTCAGAAATTTCTAACATCTGAACGAATTACAAAGATCAAGAAGTAAACAGTCCACACATTAGTTGAGCAGCAAGATAACAACATCCAACCATGAAACTAAATTATTGTTCATTTTCAGCCAAGTTTTCCCTTCTAATAAGAAATGACATGTATATATTCTGATAGGTTTCAAAGTTTTGGACTTATATGGACAATTCAAGAGCGTTCGCCAATAAAAGATTTACCATCATGACCATGCGTATGGACGTGTAAATGTAACTCGCTTGGTGTTGGATCTCGACCCTTTTCAATAGCCTTTACAAAAGAAAAATCACTTTTTAGATACAAAAATATCGATTGCATAATGTGTATTTAGATACAAATGTATATATCAGACAACCTAAAGATGTTACTTATGTAATTTGTGAAATATATACTCACAAGTTTCTTGCGATGCTCTCCAATTGAGATAGAGCCATATGTGTGAGTCCTAGCAGCAACTTCACGGCCACCACGACGATTCTTTGCATTTGTTTCTGACTTTTTCTTGGACTCATTACTTCCCCAAAGTTTTGTCCATCTTTCCCAAATATGCTCAGGTACAAAACCTGGCCTAACTCCTCCCCCTTTTATTTTAGAAATAAAATTTCTGTATTTTATATCGGCCTTGACCAACCAATGTCTCTTCACTTCACTTTCACTAATAGAAACATCCCAATAGAATTTTTCTGAAATTAAATTTTGAAAGTAATATATCAATATCCTATCTATAAGTATGAATACACTTTCCACACTTATCTACGATGAAAAGTAATACCTTAAATTCTTCAAAATAACCGTCTTTTACATCGTTTGAAAACACTTTTCCAATTTATTCCATTGGGATCAACATCATTTCTGAAACACTTGGTTATGAAACTAGAGCATATTATAGAAGGTTCCAACCTGTGTAAATTAAAAGATATTATTTGGAGTTTTATTATAATTAGACATTATATATGTGAGTGCTAACAAAAAGAATACTCAGATTATAGTAGGCTGCTGATTTTTCAATATATATGTGATTGCTAACAAAAAGAATACTCAGATTATAGTAGGCTGCTGATTTTTCAGATCCATCAATTAGCATTGCTTAACAGGGAACCTTAAATTATAATTTTTTGCTCGGACTTGTGGATTCAAAGACTACCACTATTAACTACACTTAAGTATAAACAGGTTATGAGGATAAAAGCAAAAGAGTGGACTAACCCTGCAAAACTTATAAAAATAAGGGTCTGTGAGTGGTTACTACTAGAATCAATATCAACTGTGTTTGTATGACCTCTTGAGTTGCTTTGAGTAGATAGATCACCTTCAGCAATTGGATTACTACAACCTGTTGGGATGCTCTGAGTAGATAGACCTTGACCTATGGGACTACTTTGATTTGGTGTAACTGGAGGTGTCTCAGAGATAGTTGGGGTGGTACTTTGAGCTGATGTTTCAACGGTTGTGGTACCACCTTGTTGAGGAGAAACTATAGTGGGCATCGGAATAGTTGGCATGCTTACATGAATTGCAGGACTACTCCTACCAAAGGACTTCCCACGACTTCTGCCTCGAGCCATACCTATAAAAAAATATAACAGTGTAGTTGGCTTCCTGAAAACTATAACAATGTAGTTGGCTTCCTGAAAAAATTATTGTCATGTCTAAAGAAAGAAACTTTCAGTGATGTGGTACTACAAACACAACAGCGATCGATGGGAGCTACTTATCCAATGTCAAAACAAAATACAGGCAGACCCACATAATATCATGCTGTATGAGAACGAAATGAGACTAGCAAATGACTATCACCAAACAGTTTGTTCCACCAAAAAAAGAAATATTGCAAAAACAGAAACTAGAGTCAAACATTTATCACTAGTATAAATCAAATTAAGCTACCTCATTGAAGTGTGCTGAAATATTAAAAATACCTCTAAAAAAGCTTGTAGATCAAGTGAAAACACTTATGCCTGCATATAAAAGAGTGAAATAGTTATCATTGAGTTTGGTTAGAAGATTTACACAAATAATGAGCTTCAGAAATCTATATCAGATTCTAAAAAAATTGAATACAATCACAAAAAAAGGATATTAGGGAACTGTAGAAGCCTTTTAAGAGACTGAAAAGTTGAATACCATTAGATCATGTGCTTCTGATAAGGCACCTAGACCTGATGGTTACATTCTGTCATCAAAGCTGGTAGGTATAACACTAATGTAAAATGACCACAAAGCATAACGTTTGTTTCAGTTTTCCCTGTACCAAGGAAGAGAACACAAACTCTCTTTGGATTGGCCATCAAAGACACCACACTTGGCACTAGAAAACTCCATAACCAATGTAAAATGACCAATGATAATGAAAAGACAGTAGCTAAAAGAGGGGAAAAGGTGTAATGTGGAGATTTCCTAGGCATCCAAAGCATCACAAAACAGCTCTCATTCAAATGGAACATTCAGTTACCTGGTATGTATAACAGTAATTAATGCTACAAGTAGATTTAAATAAAGGTTAAAATAAGAAATAGAACACACATGGTCAAAATCCAAGAGTTACTGATTTTAATCACCGTAATTTGAAAAATAGAAACTAAAGAATATGAGAATATTTGGAGAAAACTTAATACAAACAAATTGCGGTGAAGATACAAAAGTAGATTATCAAGCACTAGTCACTATCTATGTCTTCTTCAAACTCTTCCTCTTCATCATCTTCATCCTCCTCATCCTCCTCAGTTTCCTCGGTTTCATATTCTTCTGTTGATTCTATTTGGATTGCATGATGCTCTTGCAATAAACCATCATCAATGGGTTCATCCATTTCCATTGTATCCCCATTTGGATCATTTAAGAGTATGTTTTCATCAATGGAAACAGTCATATCTATCTCGTGAACTTCAACTTCATCAACTTGGAATGGAACATTCAGTTCTAAAGTTGTCTCCACCCCCTCATCAAGTAATTCAATAACATTTCGAGGTTTGGCCTTCAATACAGCTACCCAGTCATCTTTGTCCTTTTTCTTGTTGGGATATGACACATAACACACTTGAGTTGCTTGCATTGTCAGAATAAAAGGCTCATATTTTTTATATCGACGACGTTGATTAATCTCAACCAATTTGTACTGATTATGCCTTTTGACACCAACATCCATAGTTGGGTCAAACCATTCACATTTGAATAATACAATTTGCTTCAAAGGTTGCTTTACAGGGTATTCCACTTGTATAATCTGTTTTATCCGTCCAAAATAATCACCAAAATTTGAATCTGAGATACAACCTCCACTATTCATTGTTGATCTTGTGCTACCATGACATTCTGTGTGAAATTTGTATCCATTAACAAATAAACAGAATGACATGTAGCACTTATTAATGGTCCACGGGCAAGACTACTCAAGAATTTATTCTCTATGGGATTGCATAGGACCTATTTTGAAAAAATTGTAAGACTTAGTAAAATTTCTGAAGTCAAGTTAAGCACATTACAACATAAAAGATAGTAGTTTTGAAATCTTACACATTCCTTGAACCATGTAGAGAAATTTGCTTCAAGGCTCTCATCTATTTGACCCTGAGTTAGATTCGGAAATTCTTCTTGCAAACGTTGCATGAACATACTTCATCATAGTAAAATAAGTTTAATTTGATAGTCGTGAATAAAGATATGTTTATATCATTAAGAAAATACCACTAACTTTTGTTACCTCACAAATGGCTCAACCTCCTCACAATTTAGTAAGATAAAAGTTTGGGCAGTCTTGATTTCTTCAAGGGATAAATCCCTTTTTTTTACTTCTCCCCATACTCGACCTGGATGGGAGAATATTGATAAATTTCCTTCAAGATCTTCCACAACACCACCATCATCATACGTTCCACATTATGATTACGTGTCATGACATGAGGTTCAAAATAATGAGAAAACAATTGTGTTGACTCTGTCATCAAGTACGCTTTACAAATGGAACCCTCTACACTAGCTTTATTCCCAATCATCCTTTTAAGAGTTCCCAAATTCCTAAATAGAGAAAATGGATGGACCATTACATTAGAAAAGGAATGAATGGCAAACTAGTCATAAGTGACATGAAGTTTCACATTTACTTTTCAAATGGATACATCCATCGATATTGCACTGGTCCAGCTATCTTTGCTTCATATGGAATGTGCACAGGAAGATGTTCCATTGAGTCAAAGAACCCAGGAGGAAATATACGTTCTAACTTGCATAAGATTTGTGGAATATCTCTCTCCAATCTCTCCATGTCATCCACTCGTAGAGTGGTGGAAGTAAGATCTTTAAAAAATAAGCTCAATTCTGTAAGTGCCATTTTGTCATCAAAATTAAGAACTGCGTTAAACACATTATCAAAGACATTTTTCTCAATATGCATGACATCAAGAGTATGTCGAATCATGTTAGAACTCCAATAAGGCAAATCCCAAAAGATGCTTTTCTTTTTCCATCCACAAGACTTGCATAATCTTCGATTATCTTCGTTTGCATCTAACTCTGTTACTTTCCTTATGCCCAAGTCACAAATTTGGTTCAATAATTCTGCTCCTGCTCTATAGGGTGGTGATGATCTTTGGACAGTCTTGCCTTTACGAAAGTTTTTTACGATCTCTCCTAAATGGGTGATTTTGGTCGAGAAACATCCTATGGCAATCAAACTATGATGTTTTTCTACCTATGTTTCAATCTAAAGGATTGTGTTTCCTCCATACAATAGGGACATGCTAACTTACCTGCAGTATTCCATCCGGATAACATAGAATATACTAGAAAGTCACTGATTGTCCACATTAAAGCTGCATTTAGTTGAAAGTTCTGCTTTTTTGAGATGTCAAATGCTTCCACACCTGTCTCCCACAACAAAGTCAGTTCTTTTATCAGAGGCTGCAGTTAAACATCAATTTTATGTTTGGGATTGGTTGGCCCTGGAACAATAGTTGTTAAGAACATATAAGCCTTTTTCATACACATCCCTGGAGGTAAATTGTAAGGAGTGACAATCACTGGCCATGAAGAGTATTTACTCCCAGACTGACTAAATGGTTGGAAACCATCAGTACATAACCCCAATCTTACATTTCTTGGTTCCACAGCAAAAAAATGATGAGTTTCATTGAAGTGCTTCCAAGCCTCAGAGTCTGATGGATGACGCATTACACCATCCTCTTTTGTATGCTCATGATGCCATCTCATATCAGCAGCAGTAGCAGGGGATGCATATAATATTTGCAATCTAGGAATCAAAGGAAAATAATACATTTTCTTATAAGGGACCAATTTTCTTTTACGAGAGCCGACACGGCGCTTGTATCTCTCATGGCCACAGAATGTACAACATGTAAGGTGTTCATCATCACCCCAATATAACATACATCCTAATTCACAACAATCAATTTTTTCAATTGGCAAACCCAAGCTACGCACTAGCTTCTTAGTCTGATAATAACTATCAAGAACCATGTTATCTTCAGGTAAAGCCTCTTTCAACAATTGCATCATTTGATTATAACCTCTCTGTGACATATTGTTCTCCATTTTAATATTTAACATCCGAGAGACAAGCACAAGTTCAGAGAGAGAAGAACCGAGATACAATTTTTGAGTAGCTGCTTGTAGCAAATCATACAATTTTTGAGAGTCGGGATTAGGATCTTCCTCCATCAAAGGTTCACAAGGATGAGTTGGCTGAGGTTCAATATTGCTAGAAGATTGCCAACTTGAACCTTGGGAAAAGTTGGGACACGAAACATCAAAAACCATTTGTCGGTATGGATTATCATATGTTAATTCAGGTTGAGCACTACCATGCAAATCTTGACCTGAAGAAATCTCATACATCCAACCACGCTCTAGATTATTCATGTTTCTGTCAATTCTTAAACAAACAAACCTTTTACTAAAAAAGCACTAGTTGATTGACCAAAACGTACTCTAATTCATATTCATTAAATTTATTCAAAATATAGAGATCGAACTAACAAAAACAGTTTCTCGAATTAGAATGAAATAGATTCATTCAGTAACTTTCACAACAATTGGAATTTGATCTCCTGTGCCTGTGAATTAAAGAAATGAGGAGCTGAAACTGAAATTTTTCACTAGGAAAGCTGGAAAAAAGCTTACCTAAAAAAAAATTCCTTGCTGAAGAATTTTAATTCCAGTCAACTTACAGAATAATAAAGCATTCTAAGTCCAGCCAGCTTAGTTTAGAGTATAAACTATACTTTCTTTTATAAATAAGGAACTAGAAGTACAAGCATACAAATAACAAAACACATATAAAGAAACTAAATTTGCTTAAGAACATTGGACACAATGACAACAAGCATCTTCCTAATTACATTCAGTAAAGTTAAATACCTACGATAGTTAAATTTTGAGCTAAATCAGGGGTAAAAATAAAGAGTAAGGCTTACTTCCAGTGAATATCAACCAGATCCTCTGATTAGGGTAGAACAGTAGTTCCTGCTATATTTTAACATCAGATTGTGTTGGTTATTAACAAGAACATGAACTGGAATGGAGAAAGTAACATCTTTGATTATGCGAGAATCGACAATAATTCACACTATCAGTGTAATTTAACATGAAAATAGATTAGACACAATTATTATTAGGTTACTTTTTACATAAAACTTGAAATTTACAAAAAAAAAATCCTAACTTTGAAGTTTCTAATGCCTCATTGGTCTAAAAGGTGCAAGAAGCAAATTGAGAGCTCTACAAGAAACAAAAAGAAGCTGAAGCATTTCAACTACAGAAAAGGAGAAAGAAGCAGAGGCACAAAAAGCAACTGCAGAGGCTAATTTCTACAGACGTAAGCAGATCATAGATGGGGATTTATATGTAAAGATGAAGGAAGCAGAAGGACTTAAAGTTCTAGAAGAAGCTCAAGGGATATGAAATTAGGCATCTTTGAACCAGCCTTTTCGATCAAGTTAGTTACTAGTTGAGCTCAAAACGTCAAATGACTACCTATATCTTAGAGCACCAACATTGAGAACCTTTAATCAAATGAGAGAAAAAAGAAGAACATTAACAAAGACCTGGCAAACCTAAATCAAAAAATAAATAATTGAACTCAAGACGTCTAAAAAAAATATAAACTTCACCATGCCTAATTAGAACCACTTGTCATCAGTCTAACTAGTCGTAAAAAACTATAGATATTTCTCAAAAGAAATAACAGTAAAAACTTGTTCTTCTAAAATGAAAAGAAATCACAATGGAACAATTGAATAGTTGTACTCAAATTGTTGACTTTGTAAATCAAGGAAATGATACTAGTGTTGTTGATGTGAAAAAGATGAACATGAAAATGGAAGTAAGAAAGAAGATATGAAAGAATAATGAGTGATAGAAGAGAATGAATCAAGACAAATAAGATAGCCAAGCTATAAGAACATCACTGGTTCCTTTCAGGTGGAAGCTTTTTACTAAAAAAAATTTGTTTTTTACTTTTTTCTCTTTTCTTTTTATTTGTACTGGTTTTTGTTCATCATGTCATTTCCTTTTCTTCCAACACTGATATGAGATGGTTGAAGAAACATTTCCTTTTCTTAACTTCAACAGAAAATCTTTTTATGACAGTGCAAAGAAGAAGAAGAAGAAGAAGAAGAAGAAGAAGGGGAAATAGAACACTTACCGGATGTCTATGTCTTTCTTCGAGTTTCACATACACCGGATGGTATACCTTCAAAACAAAGGCAATTAGAGGAAATAGATGAAGGAGACGGAAAGCTGAAGCAGAGGAAAAATTCAATCAAAACTGCAATTTTAAACCCCAAATCACCTAAATCAGTATATTCAACACCAAAATACTCAAACTAAATTAAGTTCTACAAATGAACCATACAACACTAACCAACTCAAGCAAGTTAGGTAAGACAAAAAATCCTTCCTGATTTCATTGAATCAAATCATTTCGAGATTATTTTTAAAGCATAAAATGTATTTAAACACACAAACAAAACAAACAGTTTCAGAAAATAATAGTAACATTTTTCAAAAGCTAAAAGGAACTCCTATCTACCAAAGATAATATATGAAGAAAAGAGAAATTACCACAAAGTAGAGAAGCAAGGTCTTGCAAGGTGAAAGACTTGTCCCATGAGAATTGCACAAGAATATTAGTAGTTGTATTATCAAATGAAAGCAGACGGAATTTCATACATCTAAAATGCTAAATTGATGCAACAATGAAAAAAACATATTAAAAATCAAAGATACCTAGTTCGTTCAAATGAAAAACTAAGAAGTTAACTAATCAAATAAAATATAAGGATGTAAAGATGGATACCAAGTTGAAGAGTATGTGCAAAAGCTATAGTTACATAGTTGCCTCTAAACAAATGGTGCATATTATAAACATGTACACCTAGAACTACCTATATATAGTAATTATAAAACTTGGAAATAAAAGATAGAAAAAGAAGAAGCTAAATTAATGCTCACTAAATCAGAAGCTAAAATGCTCTTCAAGCTATTTCGCCAAATCTAAAAAGAAGTTACTCTATTGTATACTTAATAGCTTAGTAGCTATTAAGTATAATAAATAAACAAGAGACAAGTTTAAGGAAAGAAAGGATAACTAGTAGCTATCAAATAAAACAAAAGCAAACATATACTACTTTAATAACTGCTGAAACAAAATTCAGTGACTTCCTAATTGTTTATAACTAATCTTTTATGAATTGAACAATAAGGCCAACAAAGATTGACCCGTGACATTTTATTTAACTCAACAAGAACATACACATACTTATACCAATATCAAACCTTTTAACAAGGCCAAAACTTCAAGGACTTAAAAAAGATTGAAAATACAAGCAGAACAACATGCCGAGATGATCAGAAAAGAGAAATAGGCAATGACTTTGAAAGCAAACTACAATCTGGACAGTAACATGACTTCACACCTTATAAGCTTAATTACAAACAGTGGGCATTTTTGTACTAAAATTTAAGGCAGATGGAAACATAAATTCGATTCGTAGAATGATCAGGGGATTTGAAAACAAGCTACTACATCAACAAAATAAAAACACAAACAACTTTCACCTTAGTTAGCTTCAAGATTCTATCCTTATTTTGAAAAGAAAGCATCATTAACAGTAGCAAAACTGAATGTAAAACCTGGGCTTACAGACAATGAAAACGAAGAACAGAGATTCTACGACATATCGAAGAGGAGTCATCGAAAAAGGATTCAAACAAAGGAACAAATAAGCGACAATACTAAATACTAAACGACAAAACCCAACTTCCACATTAATATGAATCAAGGAAATCCATTAAGAACACATATATAGCAAATTGAAGTCATCAGTTCTCATCTACAACAACTGTGACACAACAACAGAGTAGCGAGTCATATCAGAAATAGAAGAAGACGAGGAGAAGATTATGAAGGAAACGTTACCTTTCTCTGGGCAGCGACCAGACAGTGACCAGCTTGGAGACTACTTCACCACCAAAATAAGATTTCAAGAATTTCGTCGAGCAAAGCAGAAGCAAGAGAGGTTAGAGACTAAACAAAATTTGAAAAATATTCAAAATCAGAAATTAGAGCAAAGTAGAAGCAAGCGAGTGCACTACATTTAATTTTGGCATATCCCTGATAACCACATCCTGTTCCCCAGTTGTTTTTCACCAAATAGAACTCAACGCCCTCCTCTTCATCGCACCAGAAGCTCACCGAACAGATGAAAAAAGAGAAATTACCAAAGGCAGAAGCTCACCTTTCACCTGAGGATGAAGAAGACAGGAGCAATTTCACCTTTCGCCTGAGAATGAAGGAGATGAGCAATTTCACCTTTCACCTGAGACGGGAGCCATTTCACCTGAGACGGGAGAAATCGAAAGGAGAAGGAGACGGAGCTTTTACTAAGAGAAATTTTACCTGATACAGAGCTTTCACCAAGAGCTTTCACCTGCTACAGAGCTTTCACCAAGAGCTTTCACCTGAGCTTCTGCTAAATGGGAGCTTTCACTAAGAGAAAACCCTATTTTTTACGGATAGTAATTTTTTGTTTCCTTTTGTGGTTTCTATGGACTGATGACTTGGTTAAAAAAATTGCAACAAACTTAGCGACGGATTATGACATCCGTTGCTACTAAATAAATATAATTATTTACATTAATTTTTAGCGACGGATATTTCCATCACTACATAATTTAAATTCCATAAAAATATATTTATAATTCTAGCAACGCTTTTTCGTCACTAATTCCATCGTGGAATATTAATAAATTTGTAACGCCTAGTTTGTTGCAAAATCCGTAGCGAAAATTAGGGCGCCAAAGTTTCCTGCTATTTTTTAGCGACAAAAAACATAATTCCGTCGCCAATCCGTCGCTATATTATAACTCAAAAAATTATTTGAATTTTTGCAACGAAATGGCTACTTCATTGCGAATCCGTTGTTATATAGTGACGGAAATTAATTCGTCGCTAATATCCGTCGCTAAACACTATTTTTTTTGTAGTGGAAAATACTTTGATTTGGCTCCTTGAATGGAAGAGGAATCAAGGATAAAGGATTCCCATACCTTAACCTTCATGAATCCCATGAAATTTGAGAATAAAACACTTGAAACCTTCAACCCTAACTTTAACTTGACCTAGCTTCCAATGGAGTCCTAGAGAGAACTTTTGGGGAGAGAAGGGGTTTGATTTGGAAGAATGAATTCTAAAATACAATATACAAGTTTAAATACCTTTAAAATACTTAAAAACACTTGAAACAATAACCCACATATTACCCAAACTGCCCCTCACTTAGTTGGACCTTTTTAAACAAGTCTAACTTGAGTTTTATTTTTGCAGATTTCGTCGAGAAACAAGTCCGCGATGCAGAGGT